TTCGGAAGCAATGGCTTCCCATATGATAAGCTATGAGATGGCTTTCCTGTCCTTTCACCCCACTTTACATATTCCCTAAAGAAGAAAGAGGCCCATTTTGGGGGGAAAAAGAAAGGAGTAGCCTGGCTGCATGTATTTTTCTCCTAATGAGACATGAAGGAAGGAGGCAGAGATTGAGTGGTAGGGAAATAGGGAAAATCCCCCGAAGGCCCTCAGATTCAAGACAGAGAACACCATCTAACAGCAGTATAAGGTCAACTTTGATTAAGAGTCAGCAAAGCAAGAGTGAGAAAAAGCAAACCAAACTTTGTTATTTGAGATCAAATGTTTTGCCTTCCCTCTTTCAACATCTTCTGTTTCTGTCTCCTCAGCAAATAAGCTAATGTGGGGAAGAGAAATGGATTTATAAACAATCCATTTTTCTATTTGGATACATGCTCACACAAAGGAAAGGTTTTGTTCTTCCACAGGAAAAAAAAAACCCTGCGCACAAAATGCATACAAATGATTGCAGCTGTCACTTTCACAACTTGGAGAAAATGCAAATGGTATAAAATAATATTCACAAATGGCTAATAGAATTTTAATAGCTACAAGAAAGCAGAGAAAATGAAAGTACTGAATCTACTTGGGATGTGAAGAGAATGAGATGGTCCCAGGAAGAGTCTAAAGGCAGAGGAATCCTTGATTTTCTTCATGCTTAGAAGTGCACTCCCTGGTGGATTGATTTATGTGAGGATTAGGCAGCAATCATAGTCTCTAGACAGCCCTGGGAGGCATGAGCATAAAGTATGGTATTTGCAATATGCAAATGTCATGTGTGATGAATGAAATGCTCAGTATGTCTCGAGGACACCCAGCTGCTAACCAGCCATGACTTCCATGCTGCAAATGGAAAGGAACTGGGAGCAAAGATTTTTTTATTGCTAATTGATTTTTTAATAACATGGTTTTCGAGTCTAAATACCAATCACAAAAACACAACTCATTCTATCCAGGTTAGTTTTATGAGACTCTAGATACTTCTTAATGATAACAACTGTCAGAACTGGGGGTTGAGCAGTCGAAATCCAGGCCTAGTCATGTTCACAGAGCACATATATGGCAACACTGCAAGGGCACATGAAGGTGGACTAAGACAGAGAATGGATAGGTCACATGTCCTCAGCCAAATTTCACAATTCAGTGCTATACTCACGATGGTTCTTACAGAGAGTCATGGAGTTCCCATACAGAAAAACATCAGCATCCAGATTGTCTGGTAGTGACTACTGAAAGAAGACAAATGCAATCATCTATTCTCTGGGCAGAAATTAAGTCTCTGGAGAAGGAGGATGGAAGTTTTTCACTGCTGACCTGGGAGTTAGCATTGCTGACTAGAAGTGATGCTGGCCCATTGCTGAACTCAGGGTAGGGTATAGATCTGGAAATCTTCTTCTCTGCTATAAGGAATCCTAGAGTCTTTAGAATCTAAGAACAGGGGGTTCCAACTATCCAAAATAAAGAGCCCGACAGGATGCAGCAGATCCTCCACCTAGCTAGCCCCTGTGCCCGACACCTTATAGAGTGGTATTTGAACTGCACACGAGCTCCTGTGTGTGAGTCTCCCGGAAGTCCTCGCTTTGTCTTCTTTGTCGCCTTCCCTGGACTTGTGTTTCATTCTAGACTCCTGAAACCAAATGTAGGGGTCGAGGGGAGCTGGGACCTTTCTGAAGCTTGAGGATAACTTTCTGCAGTGCAACGAGGAATCCAAACCAAGTTAGAGACAGGAAGAGAGGTAGCAGCGAGGGCTCTAGAGCTGCCCCTGCTCACCAGCAACATGTGGCCACCGCACCCTTTCAATTTGCCCACTCCAAAAGGAGATGACGTTTAAGTACAGACACACACTAGATTTCAAAGACTTAGTACCAAAGAGAAAATATAAAATATCTTATTAATGACTTTTATATTGATTTCGTATTGAAATGTTAGTATTTGGGACCTACTGAATTAAATGAAATATAGCAGCCAATTTAATACCACCTGTTTCTTTTCATTGTTATTAATACAGCTACCAGAAAATTTAGAATTATGTATGTGTCTTGTATTCTATTTCTATTGAACACTGCTGCTTTACAGAGGAAAATCTAAACTTGGTGATCTATGCTGGTTCTCATCCAAGTGCGGTCGATAAATTGACATCAATCCACATGCCACTGCTACTTAAAAGAGTTAAAGAAATTGAGAGTAAAGATCTAGAAACTTTGATGTCAGTTTGACATTGCCATGATATCCAAATGTGTGATGTTTTATTCTCCATGAGTATCACATTATGACAAATTGGGAGAAAAAATATTTTTCCCCATCATGGATAGTTTGAGGAACATTGAGTATTTATCACAAGATTGGGCTTTGATAGTCAGAGGAAGCTGTCAGAAGCTGTGGAAATTTAGGAGCTTGGAGGGAGCTGTCATAGCTTGCTAAGTCTGCCACAAAGAGGAGGGAATGGTTTTCTGTCATTTTCAAAAATCCCGTTATAAGTCTCTGTGTGCAGTGCTAAGATTATGCTAGACTGGGGAGGCTGGGAGGGGTAGTGGGTGGTGAAGTTGGCACCATTAGCCTAAGAACACAGGATCCAGATGCCTCTGAAACAAGTGAATATCTGCTTTCTAAGCCCTAATTTCAAACTTCCGTCCTTCACAGACCTAGGGTAGATGTACTTACACATTTGTACATTGGTTCAATAAACAGTTGTTGAAAAGTTAGTGTTCCAGAGGAACATCCAGCTGGGGATGGAGCTACAGTAGATGAGCTGTCTCAGCTGCCTACAATGGGCATGCAGTGTCAGGGGGCAGAGAAGCACACCTTGGTGACAACATGTGCTTTACGAATGTGGGGAACAGTGAGTCGGATGCGGCTGCCATTAGCCAGAGGACTAAAGTTGCTGTGTGCTGGACCTTAGGAGAAGAGTAGGCAACATTGCCCTCGTGTGCAGCTCCCAATAGGAAAAGTAGCACAAAATGTGACAAAAAGACCAGTGGTTTCAGTTGGAGACAGAACTAGGTTTGAATCCTGTTTTCTTTGCTTGTAGACGTGACCTTGGACCTCAGTTCCCATTCCTCAGAAGTGGAAATAAATGCATCTGCTCCACGGACATTGCACATATTAATTGAGACAATACAAATCAAGTCCTGGGCACAGGATAAAAGCCCAGAAATGGCAAACGATTCCATAAACTTTTCAGTCAGCTTTTCTCAGGACAAAATTTTTCCCAGGACTTCTCATGAGGATGGAACTTCAGGTAGAGTTACATGGGCCCTACTCACGACCAGGGGGCCACATAATCCATGGAAGAAACGGGGCTGGCATGCATTCAGTCTAGGCTGAACAGACACTGATTTGACCTGGAGATCAGAGAGAAAAAGGAGCGCATTTCCAGTCGCTGAGGATCTTGAGTTGTGTTGATGGGACTCAGAAGATGGTATCCCAAAATATGACGTCTTGGCAAACTGAGTATTTAAAGCTGAGAGGATCTGGAAAAATGGCAAAGGCAGAGAGCTTTCCCTGACCTTTCTTCACCTTTCTTCCCTGAAGGGAGTATGAAGAGAGGCGGTTTTCTGATCCTCCATGGAGCAGGTCATCAGACCCCCGAGGGGGGTGCCTACCACATCCCCTCCATGTCCCCGCGTGACTCTGGCAACAAAGTGTCACAGAAAGGAAGCTGAACAGCTCTTGCTAAATTCCCCAAGTTGTCACCATTACGGCATTCTCTTTGCTCAGTCTCCATAGCAGTGCACCACTCACCAAACCTAGCATAAAACTGTACACGTTTGGCTCTCTGTCTGGGCTTTCGTTTCCTATGAAGGCTCCTGTGTCATGTGCAACCTGCACTAAATGAATGTACAGGGGTTTCTCCTGTCAGTCTGCCTTTGCCGGCTTTCTTTTTAGATCCAGCCAGCAATCCTGCGAGGGCTGAGGAAAATCCTTTCCGGCCATGCAGGTCCATGGGAAGTTGCCAGTCCTCGGCCCAGATCCCTGGCATGTCACAGAATCACATGTGAGTTGCAAAGACTGTGCATTCCTACCACTAGAATAGGTGAGAGGAGATTGTGCATGTGCAAGGGCCCAGGATGTGGACGAGCCAGGTGACATAAGGTGTTGTCGTAAACAAGCATTGCCTATCTGGAGAGTCTTGGGCTGGGAAACAGGCAGCGTGCAAGTTCAAGAGCTTCCTCCACACCCAGCCAGACAACTGGGTAGACCCTTCTTGAGGAAGTCAGCATCTGGTTCGTTGTGGAATCAATCCTGTGCCCTAGCTCTGGGAGCCAATGCAGGCCCGAAGTGGACAGCTGCCGGTCCTGGCAGAAGAGCCAGTGGACTCCGTGGATGCTGGTCATTCAGCAGCAAAGACAGAAGGTGGAGGAAAGGACAGGCTCCGCTGCATCCACAGCTCCTGCTTAACAAAAACAGGATGAAGTGTGTTGGCTTTTTCTTGCAGTGCCCTGCAGTTATCTGGGCAGGAAGGAGGGAGTGGATTCAGCCCCACTGACAGTGTCTCTAAGAAGCACACCAGCAGGGATAGCACATCTCTATGCAAATGTGGCAACAGTTTGCAGAGCTAGCTGATGTGTATTCTGTGTGTGTCATTGTGCAGGAGTGCGTGCATATGCACCCTCATCCGTGCCTGCGATGGCACTGTAACCAAGAGAGTGTTCTTTCTCATTTGGTACAATTATCATTATTAACTTGATTTACAGAAATTAAGCAGCGCAAATCATATTATATGGCTGTGCTGTCACCAGAGAGTTAAAATAAGAAAGATGCCTCTTTGCAGCTGCATGCTAAAATCCTCGGTATTAACTGATTGACTAATAATGATACATACCAAGTAAAAGGTTTTTTGAAAATCCTCCCAAATGGTTCATTCAATCAACCACAAATTTGATTAACTTTAGTTTGTTTTTTTTTTCTTACTGAATGAACTGCATTTACATAATAGTAACACAAGTAGGTGTGTGTGTGTGCGTGTGTAGACTCTTCCTTGCTGTTGGGAGTATAAAAGTGTTTACATCTCTGACAAGCGCAGAGGAACCAGTGGGAATTCTGGCAGACGTGGGCTTTGTTGTTGGGATATTAAAATCAAATCCAAGAGAGAAAAATAGAACTTAAAGATTTTTTTACGGAAAGAATGCATGACTACAGCATGTTTCCTGGAAACTTGTGTAGGAAGTGGAGCAGCCTCTTGGAATAAACTCGGTTGGTGATGTGAGTAGAATGAAGACTGTAGGAAAGCATGGTGGACAAACAGACCTGGAGACCTAGGCTAGATTGGGGAAGATGGGCTTGTAATTGTTGTGCATTTATTTTATTTATTCACTTACTTTAGGAACCCTGAATAGGACCCAGTCTCCCATATTTTTAATAGGCTCCCAAGGTGATTTGGATGCACATGAGAAGTAGAGGATGTTACGCACAAGTGTACATTCAGTGCACATACATCCATCATTATAAGATATATAATGGAATTAAACATTTAGGACAAGATCACAAAAGGTAATTATCGCCCACAACTCTATATCCTCACTCAATCTCTTATAGCATTTTGGGATATTTATTTCCGGGTTTTTACCCTTGTGTTAAGGATTGTTGCCATTCCATAAATGGACTTAGAACCTTGTGGCTCCTTACTGGATTTCAGTGAAACTTGAGTTGGATGAGCTTCATCCCTACTCAGCAACCATCTCTTCCCGGACACAATGGCCAAATCGCCCGCTGGATTACATCTGGGATTAAGCCGAGGGCACCTGACTACCTTTGTATTAATTCAGTTGTTCTCTTGGTAAGTTCCATACCTTTGTCAGAAAGCCTTGAACTTCAAGTAGCACCATGGGGGAGGAAAGGGGTCTTACCCTGGCTTTGTCCGTATTTTTTGCTGCAATGTCTATGCTTATATCTACGAGGAGCTATCAGAGCGCGGCCGAGAACCCTCGCCTCCCAGGAGTCCGTGGCTCTCTCCCTTTCACTTACACTGCAGGGATATTAAACACATTATTCTGTTTTGATTGAACACCAGTAAAATTAAATTTCATCTTTCCATCTGCGGCACCATGCGGGGACTGCTGCTTTCCAAGAAAGAGGAGAGTGACAATGGAGGAAGGACCCCTTCAGGACGCTCAGAAACACGCTCCTTTCTGCTAGAGGAGGCGGGATTTCTTCCTTTCATGGTGCAAATCTCAACATCTGCTCTGCCTTTGCCTTCCAGACACCCTGACAGGTGCAGCCATCTTTAAAACATTTCTAGGAAGCAACGTATGGACTGTAGGCAGTGAGTAAAGGAGAAGCCATGCAGGGTGGGGCTAGGGACCCATTTCTGATCTCCAGGCTTTCCGGGTGTCCATCGCTTTGTGCCCCATAGACATGCTCAGCACAGGAATCAGATTTTCACTCTCTCCTTTCCAGCTGTTTCACACTACTTAGCCCCCTCCCCTTCTCTGGCCCCCCAGGGAGACGAAAGTTAAATGATGTTAATCTGCCAAATATTTCTGATCATTAGGAAGCCATTAAAATTAACGTAACCATCAGAGGAAATTAATTGCCAAAAAGACAAGGCTGGGGTGGCAAGGATCCGGAAGGAGGCAGGCAGAGGGTTTCTCCTCCTTTGTGGGTCTGAGGGAGCGGTCACAGCAGGAGCCAAGCAACAGCACACCCCTTCTCCCCTACGGTAATTAGGAGGCAGACCCAGAATACCAAGCAGAGTGTGCTGAGGCCCAGCCAGCGTTCCCTCCATTCTCTTCTCCACCAGCTCCTCTGGGGGAGATTTTTTTGGGTTATTTTTTAATTCCAGTTCAAAGCAGAGGTTGAGGGGAAAGAAGGCCCACAAGCCTCCTGCAGGAAACACCATTAATAATTAATACCCAATAATAATCGAATCCATGGGAGACTCGTTACAAGTGAAATCTTGACAGACCACGGATGGATGCCGGAGCTTTACTTCTTCATCAGCTTGCAGCAGTGGTGCAGCGGGGATCTGAGCACACATAAGCAGTGACAAAAAAAAGGATAAATAGCAGGTTTGTTCAAGGAAGAGGCTTATGCATCCCTGTAGAGTTCTTTTCATTTTAGGTTTATGGCTTCGAGGGGAATTTCTCTTTAATTGGGATTGTAATATAACGATGGAACCTGTCGACATTTACAAGAGAGATGGGAGGGTAATTCTTCCTAACTTGTTTGTTGTTTTTATTACAACACTGACTCTGCAGAGAGGACGTGGACAATCGGGCTGATCAGAGATGAAGTAAACCAGTGAGAGAGGGCAGAGCGAGACCACCAGACTCAGGACCTGGCTGCAGGTAGCAACAGCATCGTGTCTAGGACAGTGCTTACACATGGCTCTGCAATGCATACATGCTCGTGAATTGTTGCATGCAATCCTCATAATCACCCTAGAGGAAGGTGTTAGAGCCTCATTTTTCTAGAAGAGGAAACCAAGAAACAGAGAAGGTGGATGATTTTCCCCAAGGCCTCAGCTAATAAAGGGCACAGTTAGCCTAGGATTCCATCCCAGCTGGGAAGTCTGCTCTGATGTGCCTCTGTGTTCAGCTGAGGGAAAGTGACTCACTCCCTCTCAGGAGGACAGCATAGGAGGGGAGCTCTTCGGAGCCTGGCATTGCTAGGAGAGGGCTACCCAGGAATTCTGTTCATGGTGTATAAAACCTGTGAAGCTACCAGAGACTCTGTGCATAGCCTCACGCACACAGAAAGCAGGTGGGGTCACCACAGGGAATCATGCTTATGCGGATGCATTATCAAAGAGAATTTAGTGCAGGTGTAGGGAAGGCCAAAGAAACTAAGTGCAGGTTTAAGGAGATCAGAAACCAGCCACAGCCCCATTACCACTCCCAGGACAGAAGTCCTAACCTTCACTCACTGAGAACCATGATGTTCTGCTTTGACCCCCAGGCAGAGCCCCACCCCATCCGGGCTGTGTAGACATTTAAAGGATCTTATCCATGCAGAATTCTGTTTTTGCAATTAAGAAAAAATTGCAGATGAACAAAGAATATTGAAAATAATACAAGAAACTAAATAAACAATATCAAAATTTACCAAATATTAATTTTTTCACATTTATTTTCAAAGGAATTTGTTCACCTTCCCTCTTGGCATGTGTAGTAATTTCTATTCTGGAGTTCGTGATATGGCATTAACATTCTTTTCATAGTTGCACTATGTAGCCATGTATCTGTAATCGGCATCTGTTATTACTTTGTGTGCTTGCCCACATATGCAAATTGGATTTGTCTATACAGTTCATATATGAACTGTACATATTTGTAGGCAACGTGCTATTTTCTTATAACATTTTAAAATAAATTGATGTCATGTTGGAACAAATTTATTTTATTATCTGCAAGGCATTCTATTGTCTGACTAAACTACGGTCTATTTATCCTTCTTGATGATATTTAAGTTGTTTTCAATTTTTCTGTCAAAAACAATGTTGCAATGAGCATTCTTCAACACATTTATCTAAGTACATATTGCAAGAAATTTTCCAGGAGTGGAATCACTGGGTTATTGCTGTCCTTGATTGTACTGAAGATGCCAAATTGCCTCCCAAAGTGCCAGCTGTCATGCTCACCAGCGCAATTCCCAACACTGTAGTTTTAATCAACGCTTTCTGCTTCTAATTTATATTTCCTTTAATACAAGTGAGGTTGAACTTCTTTTCATATGTTCATTGACAATTCATAGCTCTGCTTTTTATGAACTTCTGGTTCAAATATGTCTTCTGTTTTTCTGTTTCTTTTCTTAGAGTCGAAGGGGGATTTTTATGTTCTAGTTACTAATTTTTATGTGTCAGAAATTCTCTCAATTTTCTTTATGATATTTTTGGTTGTATGGAAAATTTTAATTTTAATGGGGTCATATTTATCAATCTTTTCCTCTATGATTTTTTGTATGTATCTTATTCTGGAACTCCTTTTACTACTACAAATTTATAAGGATATTTTTCTATATTTTCTTCTGAAAATGCATTTTTATTTTTGCATTTAAGTTTTTTGAATTGAACTCAGGACCTTGCAGTTGCAAGGCAGGTGCCAGAACCACTGAGCTAAATCCCTGGCCCTTTAAGTTTTAAATATACCTAGAATTGCTTTGCTTGTGAATGATGTGGGATGAAGTATCATTTTATTTTTCCATAAATCATCAGTAATTGTAGCATTATTCATTGATTAGACTATGCTTGCCCCACTGGTTTAAAATGCCAGCTCCATGGCAGGGTGACAGGCTGCATCCACATGGGCAGGACTTTTCCTGCACGTACTGCACTGTGTCACGGGTGCTTTATCCATATTCAAATACCTCACTCTTCATAAATGCATTTTTCGATAAATATTGATAAACATGTAGAAAAAGTGACATAGCCCTGCTCTAGCAGATTTAGCGTTAGTTTATTAACTTTTGAGACAACTTCATTTATGATATTAGACAGAACAGCCTTGAAATTTTATTTTCACTGAGGGAGAGTTTTATCTCCATGTATCCCATCTTCAGTGATCGCTCCTAATTTATTTACATTTTTGTTATCAATTATTAAAGTATCTCATATTATCTTGCTGTATTTACACATATTTCAAGGGTTTGTGTTTAGGTCACATTTTGACTGTTGTTATAAAGGATTTCACAGTTATCATTTTCTATTTGTATAGTGATGGTATGTAAGGACATAATTACTTTTAAATTTTCTTCACCCAATAGATTCCCTTATGCAATCTTTCTAAACCTAAGAAATACCTGGTCCTGTCACTATTAGAGTTTGTCTTTTCTGTAATTTCATATGAATAAAAGCAAATATGTATAAAGTCGTGTCATCTGCCAAACTGTATTTTTTCTTTTTTTTTGTTACCGGGGTTCGAACTCAGGACCTTGCACTTGTGAGGCAGGCACAGTGCCACCGAGCTAAATCACTGGCCAAAACTGTATTTTTTCTTTTTGAATCCATATGTCATTTATTAACATTTTATTCTCTTATTACTCTATTATAAAGATTAGAAGAAGCGGTACAAGCAAACTTTTTTACTTATTTCTAATCTTTGGAAGAAAACATGCAGAATTTCACCATTAAGTATGAAGTGAGTTGTAACTTCTTGGTAATGACCTTCATTGGTTTACAGAAATTTCCATCTTCTTAATTTGATGACAGTTTTTGTTATGAATAAATATTAGATGCTAATAAATGCCTTTTCTACATCTATTAAAATAATTATATCTTCAGTTTTAGTCTATTGTTAAGACTAGTTACATTTATTGCTTTTTGAATGTTAAAAGTTCTAACTTTCATGGTGTTAATTTAGTAGATCATGAGGCATTATCCTTTTCAGGTATTGTTAGATTTAACTTGCTAAATTTTGCTAAGAATATTTGTCTCTATACTCATTGGAGTCATCTGTCTGCAGCTTTTTTTCATTGCAATATTTTTGTCTGATTTTGTAACAGTAATTTTGACCTAACATAATGAATCTAAAAGTGTTTTTTTCTTTCTTTTCCAAAAGTTATACTTTTAGAATTTATTCAAATAGTAGTTTTCTTTGTAAGTTTTAAAACTGAAATTTCAATGATAATATATAATTAACCTATATATACCATGAATTCTATATTCACGATACTAATCTGATATTCTGTTTTCTCTTGAGCCAGTCTTGGTAATTTTGCCTTCAAATACTTTATATATTTGATCTAGTGTGCTTAACTTATTGGTATAAAGTTGTCCCTAATATTTTCTTAACATCTATAGACTTTATAGTGATATCTTTCATTCTGGTATTGGTAATATCGTTTAAGCCAGGGTGTTTGATAAGATTGCTTATATTTTCTACATTTTTATGAAGCTTTTTGTCTACTAAGCCTATCAATTCCTCACCTATAATTATGGGTTTGTTTATAGTTATATAATTTAGCTTAGATATTTTGAAAATCTATTAATGAATACACGTTTAAAACTGTAATATCATTTTGATTAATCGATCCTTTTATTACTCTTCATTTTTGGTAATTCAAATATCCTTCCATGTCTACGAGTTCTACATGCCTAGATTCAACCAAATGTGGATTGAAAATATTTTTTAAATCACATCTATACTAAATATGTATAGACTGTTTTCCTTTTAATTATTTCCAAAACAGCACAGTATAACAACTTTTTACATAGCATTTACATTGTGTTAGGTCTTATCAGTAATATGGAGATGATTTAGTGTACAAGAGTATGTACATAGGGTATTTGCAAATACTATGCCATTTTGTATCAGAGAGTTGGGCATTTGTGGATTTTGGTGTCTGTGAGAGGCCCTGGGACCAATTACCCAACAGATACCAAGAGACAACTGTTTATTCCCTAATTATCCATCTATGATTTTGTCTGATATCAACAATCTATTAAACTTCTTTTGAATGTTTTCTCTTAAATATCTTCTCATAAGAAATAATAACTATTAATAATTCAATAATGACCTTTAATCTTTATTCATTAAAACTATCTTGTCTGCAATTCTGTTTTATATCTCTGGTCTTGGCCCAGCCATTTGACCTCTTATGTTTCCTAACTATAAAATAGCATTCATAATAATAATAATAATAATAATAATATCTTCTCTACTTTTTACTTCAAATTTATCTATATTTTATATTTTATAAAATTAGTCTTAAAAGACAACACATACTTGTGTCTTCACTTTTTAAATTCAACCTAACAATCTCTGCCTTTTGATTTTGTTTTTGACCACTCATGTTTAATGCAGTTATTGCTGTGCTTTGCCATTAACTCTATCTTGCTATTTGTTTTCTGAGTCCCATTTGTTCTTTGTTTTGTTTGCTTTGCTGTATTTTAAATTGATCATATTTTAGGCCAGGGATTTAGCTCAGTGGCATCATGCCTGCCTCACAAGGGCAAGGTCCTGAGTTCAATCTCCGGTACCAAAAAATAATTGATCATATTTTAAATTCTATTTGGTTTTAATTTTGGCTGATTAGTTATACCTATTTGTTTCACTTTGTGGTTGCCCTAGGGTTTACACTTTATATCTTTTACATACCATAGTCTAACTTAAACATATTAAACCACTTCTTATATAATGCTTAAGTCTCACGACAGAATACACCCATTTCTTTCTTCTATCCTTCAGGCAATTGTTGGCATATTTTTTACTTCCATATATTTTATAAATGTTATGTTACATTATTGGTGTTTTTGCTTTAAACAATGAGCTATATTTTTAATAAAAAGTAAATATTTTATTCTAGAATAACTTTAGGAAAGTTACAATCATACACAGAGTTACCAGACATCTTTTATTCGATTTCTCCTAATAGTCAATTTTCCCTAATGTTAATGTCTCACACAATCACCATATACTTGTCAAAATCAAGAACTAACACTGATAACATTGCTATTAATTAAATATATCTTTATTCAGATTACGTAACTTTTCCACCAATATCCTTCTTTCAACAAGAAAAATCTGATTTGGTTTGTTTTTAATTTATGATTCACTTGCAGCTGTAAGAAATAATATAGACTGCAGATATCATTTTCTTGGTTTTCTCCCCATGTGAACATCACCCAGAACTACTGGCATATGATTTGCCACAACCAGAACACGACACTGGTAGAGTCAAAGGCAGAAGATTTTCCTGTGAGGGTCCTTTCCTTCACTGCTGGTAACCACTATGGTGTTTTTTATTTCTATAATTCATTATTTCGAGACTGTTACATATGTGAGACCATAACCTATATAAACTTTTGGAATTGCCTTTAAAAAAAGAGCATTATTCTCTGCAGATGCATACAAATTGTTATTGCTAAGTCATGTTCCATGGTGTGGGCAGAGGTACGACAGTGTTTACTCCATCTGTTGAAGGAAGGACATCTAGGTGTTTCCAGTCCTGGGATCTTATGACTAAAGCTACGATATAAACATCCAAATACAGGGTTTGAAGTAAATATGTTTTCACTACTCTAAAATAAAAACCTAGCAGTGTAATTGCTGGCAATCTGGAAGTTACATGTTTAGTTTTTGAAGCAACTCCAAGCTTTTTCCACAGTGATTCTAATATTTCTATATCCTCACCAGCAATGTGTATAACAGTATCTCCGCATTTCCACTAGCATTTGGTGCTCTTACTATCTTTAAATTTTGCCATTTTGATAAATGTGCTATAATATGTCATTGTAGCTTTAACTTACATTTTCCTAATGTTTAAGGATAGCAAACAAATTTATGTGCCTTTTTCTCAAACATATAATCTCATCAGTGAAATCCCATTTCTCAACTTTTGCATGTTTCTACTTGAATTATTTGAAC